AGAGAGAGAGAGAGAGAGAGAGAGGGAGAGAGAGAGAGAGAGAGAGTGAGTGAGTGAGAGAGAGAGAAACAGAAAGAGAGAGAGCGAGTGAGATAACTGAAAACAAAAAACACAAAGCGAAAGAGAATTGAAGCGCAAAACTTCAATTCCGCTCTCTCATCCCCACGCCTTAAGTATACACTATGCACTGCACACATCACTGCCTCATCCCCTTTTTCCCAGCGTACAGACGAGAGAACACACGAAGCCACAATTTGCGCTATCCGTCCACGCAGACGTCCGCACTCATGCTTCTCACGTCTGCCTGCCACCGGCAGCAGCAGCGGCAACAGCAGCAGCAGCAGCAGCGCCAGCAGCAGCAGTAGCAGTAGCAACAGCAGCAGCAGCGGCGGCGGTAGGAGCAGCGGCGGCGGCGCCAGCAGCAGCTGCAGCGGCGGCGGCAGCAGCAGCAGCGGCAGCAGCAGTAGCAGCAGCGGCGGCTGCAGCAGCGGCAGCAGCAGCAGCAGCAGCAGCAGCAGCAGCAGCAGTAGTAGTAGTAGCAGCAGCAGCAGCAGCGGCCGCACAGACGATGTGGAGGTCGGGGCAGCGGAGGCTACGATTTCTCCGTTATCTCGGTCCGGCCGGCGGTCGGCGTCCGAACCCGTCGAATTCGGATGTTCGCTGGCGGTCGCCGCAGACGCAGACGAAGAGGATTACAGCATCCAACCCCCCGCGGGTTACGATTCAGCAGCAGTGCGTGTCACGCCACGCCGACAGGGGCGCTCCGATTACGGACGTGAGGCGACGACAGAGAGCGCGACGATAGGTAGTGCCGATAGGAGACGTGTTGACGTAATACACACCGATAGGGGGCGTGCCAACATGCGACTCACTGATAGGGGGCGTACCAAAATGCGACACACCGATAAGGGGCGGGCTACACTAATATAGAACATGCCGACAGGTGGCGTGTCGATAGGTGGCGTGCCTACAGGGGTGATAGTCAAGCTGCCGACGTCTTGAAATCATTGTAACTGCTTCATGTTTTCCTGGCTTTTCCTTCATGTCGGCGCGTACAGCGCGACGTCGTCTGCAGAAGCGTGACGTCACGCACGCGTCCCCTCCCTCTCAGCAGACTCGCCGCGTCGGTATACGTTAGACCTATTCCCTGTCATTAACCTACACTAAGTTGGATTAAAAGACGTATATGGCTGTGACCGATGGGCACATGTGTATCAATGATAGGTTATGGGGAAGCAGACTAGCGTGTATATAGGTGGTGGTTATAAGCGGGAGTGCTACTGCTGCTGATGCTGCTGCTGCTGCTGCTGCTGCCGGATATCTAGTGAAGCCCGACCAATGGCGCGTTTGTCCGCAATTCCTCCTCTTTCCTTTCTCCAATTCCTCCTCTAAGCTGTGACGCCGCGCTCGAGAGATTAGCGCCGAAATGATGTGCTGCGTGTCGCAAAGCCGCGCTGCTGCAGGGCGGCGCCGATTATCAGAGGGTTAGTGCATTGATGCGCTATAAAACCTTCCGCCTACCTCTCTATTCTCTCTCCTTCCCTCCCCCCTTTTCTCTCCTCCCGTCTTTCTCTCTCTTTCCCGTCTCATTATTTCTCTTTCTCTTTTCCTTCCCCTCTCTCTTTTTCTCTCTCTTATTCTCTCCTTCTCTCTCTCTTCCCGTCTCTTTCTCTGTCCCCTCTCTCTCTCTTCCTGTCTCTTTTTCTCTCTCTCCCTCCTCTCTTCCCGCCCCTCTCTCTCCCTCTCTCTTCGCTTGTCTCGCACTCATACCCACCTCTCCGTCTCTCACACCTATACCCACTCACTTCCTCTGCTTACAGAACATAAGCGCGAGCGTCCGGTCCCTGGTCCTCCTCAACCCCGCCCGCCTCCTCTAGCATTGCCTTCTTTTTCCCTACTACCGCTCGTCCTCTCCTTTCCACTCTGCCCCCGTTTCGCGATTTTCTCTCCCTCTCCTTCACCCCACCCACCCCTTCCCTGTGTTGCCCCCTTCCTAGCCACTGTGTTGCCCTCTTTCTAGTCACTGTGTTGCCCTCTTCCTAGTCACTGTGTTGCCCTCTTCCTAGCCACTGTGTTGCCCTCTTCCTAGTCACTGTGTTGCCCTCTTCCTAGTCACTGTGTTGCCCTCTTCCTAGTCACTGTGTTGCCCTCTTCCTAGTCACTGTGTTGTGCCGTTCGTCCTCTCATAGTCCGTGTGCCCTCTGTCCTTAGTCACTGTGCTCCTGCCCTCTCTCCTAGCGCACGTGTCGTTGCCCCCTCTCTCCCTCAGTCACCTGGTGTTGCCCCCTCCTATTCACCCTGTCGTTGCCCTCTTCCTTAGCCACTGTCGTTCGCCCCTTCCTAGGTACTCGTACGTTGCCCTCTTCCTAAGCACCTGTTTTTC